AACCAAAGTGCAAGATATAGACGTTACTCCACAAGATGCTCCTACTCCTGGTGGCTCTGCATACAATCTGAAGGTTAATAACGCTAAAAATCGGGTTTTAATACCAGCGATGGGCAGAGCAGAGCATAAATAGCCTATTAAAAATGCTAATAAGAAAAAAAAAGTCAAGACATTTTTCATATATAAATATCTGACAAAACTGGAATCCTCAACTGGTAATAGTATGAGTTTCATTATCGAAATGATTTACCGTATTTCGTATTCTGAGTCTGTCCATGATGTCAGTTTTTGCTTCCTTGTATTATTGAAAGTGTGTGTCGGGGTTTTATGTACATGCGGGACAAGGTGTCTGTGACTTGTTGGTGATAAATTCAACAATAAATGGACAGCACACAATCCACTTGTTTTAAAATAATATATTCGAAATAAGTCAAACTACGTACAAAAATTCTTTACACCATAGATATTACAATTGTATCTAAAACTCTAAATAATTCTCTTTTCTTGTCAAAAGTCCACTTAGGCTGATTCAATTACTTTAGAAACCAATTGACAAAACGAATTATTTTTCTATAATCTTATCAGTGAATAATTTACCTGCGTTACCCCGTGGGTTACCATGGTTCTGAACCTTAAATAATTATCTCCTTTTTGTCAGAGTCCACACAGACGGGTTCAATTACTTTAGAACATCCTTTGACAAGATAAGTTATTCTTCTCATCTCTATTAAACTGTAAAACTCACTTGAAAAAATCAACTGTTAAGGCATATCACTGACACGCTGGCTAACTTCACGTTTTCTTTCGCTAACTAATTTTCTGATTGAATTGCACTTGACTTGCACTCGCTTGGTCACTTACATTTATATGTTGTTCACTGAGGCCTCGAACTTTTTCTAAACTACGCGAGCGACGCTGTAAGGCAACAATACTCACTTAATTAAGGTAACGAGAACAATATTAGTAAAGCCTAGACATCAGTGTAATTGCAAGCAAAATATACGACTCGTACAGAGTTACGTAACGAAATTCGTCACAACTAACACTTTTAAAACAAACCATCTTCAACACTCCTATCTAAAAAACTAAACAATCATTAAATATTATAACACAAAATAAACTAAATAATAACACTTACACTAAACAGTATGTGTTTTCTTAATCTCTGTCCTAATGTCCTTCTTATTCTTCCTTAATAATACTTCCTGATGCAATAGTAGTTAGCCAAGTAGTGCAAACTCATTTCACGAAGTTGCTTATGAACAATTAGCTAATTTTTTAAATGATCCCTAAACGAAAAGTGACTTAATTAACAGATATGAATCCTACCACTAGTGGCTAAATATTTAAAGTATACAATCGGTAATCAGTGGTTAACCGGTAAATACTATGTTACTTTTCTAATAACCAAGGTCTTTCTTATCATTTTTTTTCAGTTTTCGATCTAAAACTTACTCCATAGCTCGTTGTATCTGAAGATAAATGTGGTTTATAAATCATAACGTGAACAGCTGTCCATGACATAACTGTGCAATAGTCACCTAAATTAAACTTCATCAATGACATAATCAGATATACTTTGACAATGATAAACATCATTAGTTAAAATTTTTAACATATAGCTCCCCAGTGGCACAGTAGTATGTCTGCAGACTTACAATGCTAAAAACCGGGTTTCGATATGATTTCAACCAATTATTTTTTAAAATACTTTTTGTAGTTATATGTTAAATTGCTTGTTTGTTTTGAAGTTGAGCACAAATCTACATAATAGAGTACTACGAAAATACCCTTTGAGCTCTTTAAACATGGCAATACAGTTTACACAAAAGAAAAACTCTTTAACATTTATAATCATAATTGTAATTTCAAAAATGCCTTTAGACAAAGAAATAAAAAGTACAAGCACAAAAATATCATCCAACACAAATACACTTTGATGATAATTACAATTCATAAAATAGTAACAAAACGGAATCACTATATAAGAAGAAAGAAAAATATTTTCCCAGATTTGAAGTCTTTGTGAAGATCATCAAAGCACTAAGATGTCCTCACTTAACTAGAAATGAAGGACAAAGAAATCGTGTGTCAATTAATGTCAATGACAGGAACCTTCATGAAGAACGTGGGTTCCTGTATGTTTTCTGCAACCACGACCTAAGCAGTCCCACTATCTATCTCAGGAGTAGTCAAGGCTAAAGCTCCCATCTATGTCACAAACTGTCATCACCATCTACCTGAACATGCAACAGATCCCTTTGCTGAGATGCTACTTCTAGAAACAAGCTGCCAAATGGGCTGATATCTAGGCTTTGTACAACCATGAAGAAGACCATCTGCATAAATAACCAAAAATACCATCCCAGCTGAAGGAGGAGGTCTGATGGCTGCAGACCAAGCTGATCGAAACCCACAAAGCCCTAGCAAAAGCAAGAGAGGCCATTCAGCTGATCACCATATCCAGCAAAAACAAAATTACTATCACCCTGGAAGACTAGCTGTATGGTCTCAAACAAGATGAGAGCTCTAACCTCAAGTTACTTTCTGAGTGTATATTGCAAATAATGTAAATATTATGAAAACCTTTTGTACATATTTCTTTTCTGTATGTTTATTGTTTATTTCTCTTTATGCCTGTACATAATTTGGGGTTATTTGTAATTATTTCATTTTATCTTGTTTCATGTCCTAAGTGTAAGCATACGTGAGTGAATATGTATGTTATTTTTAGAATATTTCTTTGAGTCCTTTTTGTTTTACATATTTTTACTTATTGATATTATCATACTTGACATTATGTGTATTTATTAAGTTTATTTTTCTGATTTGAAGGATATTGTGTGACGTGAACATATTGTAAATATCTCAGTTGTATTCTGTTTTAATGTTTGAATGTATTTTATAATGATTTTTTTATTTCAAAGGGTTATTTCATAAAATAATTGTATAGGGTTTCTTTTTGTTTTACGTTTTGATTTGTTTAGATATTTTTATTTTGCTTTTGTGATTTTATTCCATTTCATTTTAGTTTGATATTAAATAATATTTTCTGATATGTATTTTCTACTTAGAGTAT